GAAGAACGCAAAATATGAAATATGCCTCAATTGCATTTTTAGATTATGAATAATGCTGTGCGAAAACCTATGAGAGCTAGCTGCACTGCAGCTGATAAGGAACACGTTTTAGAACAGGGCTAGCCACACAGATAACGCGCACAAATGCAGGCGCTACGTAATAAAAAAATGAAGCATGGGAAAAATTCATCTGGCGTTGAACTTACAACGAAAAAGTGCGCCAAAACAAAAACATCTTACATATTGATATAAATGGAACGAGATCTGGAATTATGCAATTATAATTTGATGCAATTATATACTTGACCGGTAAACAGAATAAACTGTACTTGTCCGCACAAGAGAGCTTTCACTGTACATATAATTGTTTTACTTTACTTGTAATATCATTTTCACTATCTCCCGAGAGCAAATAGTTAATTATTGTTCAGACTTGAGCGATTATCTTTAAAGTATTAAGCTCTGATCTTACTGCCATCCCTTATATTTGCCCTAGTTGGTTCATATCTGAGATTGTAAAAAGTACCGCAAAATCTTGTTAGATAAACAAATTGCAATACCAGAATAATACGCAAGCACACATCTTGATTTTCTTTGTAGGGTTAGCTAAGCAAACAGAACCGCTTGCTAAACAAATAGAGCCAACGATATGGCGACGACGCCGCAGCCATAAGGCGAAAGATAAACAAATTTTTAACAAGATATAGATGTATATATATGCACAAGGTACGCGCAAATAAATAACTAAATATATGGATAGGAATTTGTTGTAGACAAAGAAACAGGAGCAAACAGCTAAGAGAAGTATTAAAGCATGTTACATTTGACGTCACGATTTCACTATACAAATATTTATTCAAATTTATATTTCAACGAAAAGTATCATTTATTGTCAGCCCTTACTAAGCACGATCTTTAGGTGCTTACATATATAAATGAAGTATATGTATATTCAAATATAGGTTATAACAGGCAGTGTTAAATGTATGTTATCGTGTCAGCAAAGCAAACTCATACTTGATATATAATATATTGAAATGTCGTACATATATACGTATATATGTATGTACAAAGTTTCTGTTCTTTGCTGTTGTTACTGCCCTTTGCTTTTTTGCTGTTTCAACATTTGTATTTTGCTTTCCTGTCTGCCTGCAAATCATTTTGTGTTATTTTTTCTACACCCAATCAAAGATATGGTATTATAAATTTGTTGTGCATTTCGCATCACGCAACAGCAAAACACGACATGAGTCAAATATGCCTTTTGTAGCACTGCTAAAAAAAAGTACAACAAATATTTGATTGTTAATGTTAAGGTTTGACATAACATAGTATAAAACTTTTAAACAGCGCCCTATTAAAAGTTCCGTTAATGATTTGCAACTTATATAGTTTATCTATAAAATTCTGTGAGAATCTACAAACACGATATCATATATTAAAACTTCAGTAATCAAACTTTATTTGTTAAATGTCATTAAGTAAAGGGTATAAAATATTTCGGTAAAGGCCAAGAAAAGTTTTCCTTACGTTTTCAATTTTTTATAAGCAATTCGTACACATACACATATGCTTATTCTGTGCCGTTTTTTTTTTGTGCTATTTATTATTGCGCTCATAAAAGTTTAATAAGTGCTTGTGCTTGTGTAAGTGAACTGTTGTGTGTGTGTTGCTTTCAATGTTTGCTGCAACGAAGTCTCCCAGCATCAAATGTCAAACCCGCCCACCAGTTACCCCACCACCAGCCGCATTTTTTTTTATTGGGTAATCAATTATCGTTGTTGTTGCTGTTGTTTTTCTCTTGAGATTTTTAGCCCGGGTACAGGCTAATATATATGATATTAGCAAACAATACCGCACGTAAGCGAAGCATCGATACTTGTATATGTATATGTACATCCCCATACAAATGCATATAATATTGAAAATGTATGCTCTTGTGTTTTATCAGTCCGGCGGCCCACACACTCGCACACATTCAAACATCTGGCAATTGTTTCTTTAAGTGTTTCATTTTCTGCATGATTTTACAGAGCAGCACAGCAGCAGCAGCAGTGATTGATTAAAAGTTCACGCACACATACACATACACATACACATGTATTCCCTCTTGATAAGCCCCATCTCACTCTTTTAACACATATTGCGTTGCAGTTTACTTGCCATAAAGGTGTAAAAATTACACAGCAAGAGAGAGAAAGCAAGTGAGAGGGCTGACTAACCTTATCGCAGCTTATCTGTGAGAAGGCATAGACGCGATTACGACCACAGCAGAAGCAATTGGTCGCAAACGTTAACGGACAGCGGCGTCATTGACACGAAGACGACGACGACAAGAAAAGTAATTTGTCCAAAATGGTAAATGGCAGCACACGGCCAGTGAGAGCATTCGTCTTCGTGTGCGCAACACATTGAACGAAAGAACGAACCAAGACCAGAAGAACAGAACAACCAGAAGATAATGTTGAGCGAGCAGAACGCGCGGTGTGACGCGACGACGACGTCGCTGTCTCGGCCAGAAAGCAAGAGTAGCAAATGTGATTGTGAGAGAGCGAGAAAGAGATGTGAGCTAATATATTCGCTGCTATTGCACTCGAAAATTCTTTTGCTTTTGTTTTTATGATTTTTCCTGGAATTAACAACGAAAGACGATGGCCGGCCACAGCGAGTGCAACTGCAACTGCGACGGAGACATGCGCAGCCAGCAAGAAAAACAATAAGAAACAGGAGCGCAACAAGCAACAACATTAACAGAACGTACAATAATGTCTGCCCAAGTGGCAACACATGATTTTGCATGGTCAGGCACACACACTGCACACACGTGTGTGAATACATACATAAATACATATGCACTTATACAAACATACATATAAGTGTAATGTTAAGTTGAAAATTTATTCAAATTTAAAGACTGAACCATTAAAAAACTTATAATAAATAGTAAAATAAAAATATGTATTTTCCTAGAATTTGGGCCAACGAATTCTCTTGCTACGAGGGGGAAAAGTGCAGCAGCAGCGTTGGCGGCAGCGGCTTTTGGCCCGCCCACGCACAGCCCCCGCCGACAGCATTTGCTTGTTGGTTTTGTGCACAGAGAACGTGCCCGTGTTTTGCTCTTTTCTTTATATTCTATTTACCTTTAATACATAAACAGCTCAGAATGTGTAAACACGTACGAGAATCGTATGCGTGTGTATATGTTGGTATTGGTAGCGACGGCCCCACAACATATATACGGGAACACTAATGCAGAGCAGCAAAGCACACACACACTTAAAAGACACGAGCAGACCGTTTCTTCTGTTTCTTGCTTTTAATATTTTGATATGTATTTGCCGTTTTATTTTTAAATCGTACACACACACATTTACACCACTACACGCACACTGTCACTGGAACACTACTCAACTTATGTTCTGTTTCAAGTCGGGTGCATGAGCTCTCAAAATTATACGTATTGAGCGGGCTACGAATTATAACTATTATCAAATAATATATGTTAGAAATATTAAATTTGTATTACTTTTGCAAAAGCCGCGAGGGCACACCACCAACGCGATTGGACGTACGAACATAAATGTAAAATGGACCTGTTAACGTCAATATCAAACTGATTTACTCAAAATGGCACTGTTAGCGCAACGAACAGCCGTGTGGCCAGACGGCCCGAATTCTGTTTACAGTTAGATATTAATTAAGTTGTATATTTTTGAATTATTAGGAGAGCTTGCATTTATAAGTAGTATTATTGAGTTATATAATGGCGTATATGTAGTTATTTTAATATTTATCTTTGTAGTATGCAAAGTTTGCAACCGCAAGTACGAAAGTAATAATGTGTTGCCCTGTTTTACTGAGTGTTGCTATAACAGGGCTTTCATATCTTTCGAATCAGGATCCAAAAGTCTGCTAGTATACATGTGCACTATTCATAAATACATAAAAGTTTTCGATTAACGTTATCAGATCTTCGGCGAGTTCTTTATCATTATCAATTTGGTTGTGACTTGCGCCCGCTAGACTAACACCATTGTTTTACGGCTATCGAATGTTCTTTAGTAGTTCACTGTGTATTCATTTTCAAGGAAATGCAATTAAAAGCTAATAAATTGATTTTTCGCAAATTGAAATTGCTAAAAGGCTTAAATGCCTGTATGGCAACTCTGTTCACCTGTTGTACGCCAGCCGCCCACAAGGGAGCGGCCATGACTACAATAAATCAATATTCTTTTATTTTACACTATTTAATTATACTGGCCCTTTTTTTCTATTTAGCGACACTCACCTGGTTGTAAGCAGAAGTCCACTTGATAGTTTTTATAATTGTTATATATGTATGTACATATATGTATGGAGCCTTTGCGAGGCTCTGGTAAAACGAAAAAAAAAACTCAAGTTTCACAACAAGTCCAGCATATATAGCACACGAATTATTTAGGAACAGTTAACGAAATATGACTTGCGCTTATACAAAATAATATAAATAAATAATAATTTGTTTTTGCGCACTATTTTTGCACAACTGAACGCGACTAGAGATGGTAGATATGACCAAACGGTGAAGAAGAACGTTATCGGTCTGAAGCTATCGTTGGCGTTGCCACCCTAAGAGGCTCACCAAATAATTTGGCGCCCCTTTTAAATGTTGGACACATGTATTTAAAACATTGTAAATTTATTTTTGCTAATAAAAAACACACTTACATATAATATATTAAAGTATTGGTTTCATGACTGAACATTGGTAAATTACGGAAATTGTATACAATATTTTAACAGCATTTGCTACTCCAAGCCAATTTCTAAATACATTCGACACTTGAGTAAAGTAAAAAGAGCTACAAAAGACAATTACACAATTATTTTAAGAGCTATAAAGTTTTATACATTAAACAGTTATTGTCCAGGTAATGTGCTTAAGTACAAATAAAGCATCAAAATCAATGCAATAGGAGCCTTAAATTTGAAACTTTATACAGATAGTTTTGTTGTTTCTATTTTTATTGTGTTTGTTTACTTTCAGCTTAAAGAAAATAATCGATTACATTGAAAAACAAAAGTAAGCGTTTGTGTATTCTTCATAACTCTCCCACATTTAACAACTAAAAATATCAATCAAATATATAACAATGCTGATGCTGCATAAGAATGCTGCACTAAATCCTTTCATGCTATCGAAACATTTAACTTAAGTGCGAAAGCAGTACATTTTCCTGTTTCTCATTCTGTTGGTGTGTGTGTGTGTGTGTGTGCTAATGAGTATGTGTGTTTTGGAGGCCAGTTGCTACTTCTCGACCCGACCACGCTTCAAGTGGGACAACTCAATAAGCCAAGCCTTGATCAAATCATACGTGGAGAAGCTAATGCCTACGGCAATGGGACCCTTGATCCAGTTCATACTCAGGCCCTTATAGAAGCCGTTTTTGACACCCTCCTCACTGTGGAAAGAGGAAATGTGAATTTAAGGATTTGAGCTATGACTAGGCGTGGCTAACATACCGGTAGATCTTAACAAGCGTCTCCAGTATCGTAGGAAACCGTTCAGGCGCATCTGCACTTACACGCATCGTCTGCATGCGCCGACGAACAATGTCCAGCGGATAGCTGGCCGTTTGTCCGGCCGCACCCGCCGCGGCGCCAAATGCCAGCGAAATGAGAGCATTCGGCTTTGTATTGCCAATAATTTCTGGTAGATTCAAACGATAATCGTTACAAAAGAACAGATGCACATAATCTAGAAGCAGCATTTACCATGATACTCGCGCTTGAGCGTTTCGTAGGTGAAGAAGGAGGTGCCCGCATAGGGTATAACACCCAACACTGTGGCCCAGTAGCCACGGAACAGCGTTCGTGGTCCCTCCTCGACCCAGATATTGGTAAACACTTGACGCAGTGTGCGATACCCCGTGTATCTGTCCGTGACCGCCATGCGAGCGCGCGCCAAATCCAAGGGATACGTCAACGATTGCGATGTTATGCCCGCCAGTGAGCCGGCCACGAAACGACGTCCCTTGGTGCTGTTCGGAGCGAAGGAAATGCACGTAAGTCAGATAAATAAAAGATCCGCTAATCAAATGCAAACTTACTTGGTTCCATTCTGATCGACGTGCAGGATACGCCGCCACTGCTCGTGGGATGTGAACTGAATGGCCGCGTAGGGCACGATGCGCGCCATCGTCGCCGAGTTGCCACGCCAAAGGGCGAGGACGCCCTCCTTGGCATAGGTCTGTTGCAGATAGTTGAGCGATGCCTTAAATGAAAATGGCACATCCTTGCGTATTTGGAAATTGATTTTCGTGCGATCCAGCGGGGCAATTGTTGTTTTGGCTAAAGCACCGGCCGCAGCGCCCGATATCAGACTGATGATCACCTCGTCCAGATTGTTGTGCACTGGAAAGGTAAGTAGAAATGGATAATACATGACTTTTATGCAATATTTGTTTGTGCAGGGTATATGCTAGTCGAACAAGCCCAAGCAAACGTATGTCGATTTACTTGTTTGTGAATCAATTAGAATTGTCTTGATTTTCTACTCAAATACACTTTCAATTTAATTCATTTTAGCGACTCGTTAAACTTGAAATTTTTCTTAAATTGAGAAATTTATAAATCGACTAGAGCTATGTCGGGCTGTCTAAGATAAATGTTAATCTTGTTTAAAAGTTTAGGAGTTATAACTGTTTATACCCTGTACAAAATGAAAAAGAGTACAATGAAATTGTGCAATTGTATGTAACAGGCAGGGGCAGATGGCAAGCAACTGCCATCCCATAAAGTATATAAATTCTTGATTAGCATCAACTATCGAGATGAGCTAGTCAGATCCTTCTGTCCATCTGCCCAGCTGAAGGACTGCATGCAATTCAGAGAGAGAGAGAGAGAGAGAGATACTTGAAATGTGAGTTCTATTGCAATTAATAATAATCGATTTTTTGTCTACTTTTATCTATTTCTATAGGTCGATAAGTATCGATATTTATCCTAGCGAGTTCTTGAGCATGTATCGTAGAGTATTAAAGCAAGAGACTTGCCCTTTGCCATGTTTGCTTTAAATTTATCGATAGTTGCTTATCGACTTTTAAATTATCGATCAAGCACATCTCGGACAGTATGGAAATTATTTTGTCGGACACTAAATCTGAACTTATTTAAGACTGAACATTCCAACAGGTGAAACCAAAGGGATTAGAAAATTAAGCGGCAGTATAGAGTATCTACTGGTCGTGGTGGGGCACTGTCGACATTTCTCTTACCATCTGCGGCCTTTGCGCTCTGATTGGTGGACGCCGCCGTCATTTGCGTTCCAGTTGCGCTCTTGTGGCCATCCTCGTCCTCCGCTGGAGCAGCTGTGTCGTCCGCTGCGGCCGCATTGTTGGCCGTGCCGGCGGCAACAGTGCTGGATAATTGACTACCTGTTGATGTAATGGACATGGCAATGTTGGGCTTCTCCAAAAGGCGGCTCATGGCAGACTGTCAGGGTTAAGGGGACAATTAATTTGGATTATAATTATAATTCCTGGTTAAATGCTTAAGAACTGATATTATCGGCTAATAAAGACCAACAATAGCTCATCAAGATATAAATTGCCAATTTTGGAGTTGCATTGAAGCTATTTTTGGTTTTAAAAAGAAAAAAGCCAGATGACTTGACGAAAGTGGAATTGTACTTTGCTTTGGACTTCTACCGTTTAAAGAGGCTTAGATAAAGAGTTTTGTGATTAGATTGGGGCTCATTAGCAGCGGGTTAAGTTTTGGCTTTAGCTCGTTTTTATTTATTTTATTTACAACAAAATTGTCAGACACACAAAAGGCGGCACACACGCCAGACTTAAATGTATTTATTTAATATGTACATATATAGAAAAGGAAAAATAGAAAAGCTGTTGTTGACACTGAATGTAAACAGCGAAGCAATAGCAACAAATTATCACCAAAAATTAATTTTAACAAGCGTGTGCTGCAATAGCACAGACACCTCCATATACATATATAGATACATACGTACGTACGTGTGCACATAAATAGATACACATTCAAATCCGCACATTTAGCACGCAAAGAGCCTCGTTTGACTTCCGCATTTGCGATTTTCAATTAAGTACCCAACAAGTGAATAGTTTTACCTTGAACAGGTTTTAGCATTAGGCATAAAAGACTATCTCTCGTGATAAGATAAGACGCGGATAACTGCGACCAGACCTAGTGATAAGCATGTAAGAGTTAATAAACTTGGAATATCATATTACATACTCCTAAGAAAGTGAACCATTGCGGTTTTTAGAGGGAATCCAAGTCAACAGATGTTTAAAGGTGTATCAAAATTTACATGGAATTATAATTACACATTCAAGTTTTCCTTTTAGTTTGATGATGATTTGATTGATTGATTGATTGATATGATTTTCACGTACTAAAAGCCGAGTAAATGGAGCTTGACGAGCTTTTCTTCTGTTATGTGCAACAAATAATATTTTTTTTTTTTTTTTTATATCTATTTCGAGACAGTAGTCACTCGCATAGAAGAAATATCCAGAGTTAATTCAAATATTTCAAACATTAATATTGAATAAATATAATGCATGTATTAAGTATTTACACACTTTAATTTCTGTTTTAAAGCAAGGTCGAAAAAGCATTTGATTGATGTTAGAAATTACTACTATACTTTAATTTTAATAATTGAAATAAATGTATTTTCAGGAAATTTTGAAAATTCTATACTTAGAACTTTGTATAAATAGAAAACAATTTCTCAAAAACAATCATTTTAAAAAAATTCTTATTTTTGAACAATTTGAGTTCTAGAAATCTCTAATATACGAGCACACACCAAAATTGTCCTGTACACCTGCAAATCAATTACGTCCCACTGTCTACTGGATGCTGCTGGGTGGCTGGTTAGGTGGTGGGAAAGGGAGGTGGGGGGATTTGCATTGCAACCGGCAGAACGAATGTAAACAAGTTCGTTAAACGTTATTTGTTGTTCGACGCAATGTCAAGGCTGTTGCTTATCCGTGCATAAGTGTGTGCATGCATATACACGTGCATGTGTGCGATTGAGTGCGTTTATAAATAGATTCACTCATATTAGGTTTGCCTAATAGGAAACATGTGGCAATAACAGCTTTGATTCTGATTGGAATGGACTTTGCACCCGGCTCAGTTTGCTGGCAAACGTATGCAAATGCGTATGCGTGATATATATATGTATGCAATAAAGTCGAATCATAGAAACACTTCGCCTTTTTACATTACTGCGTTTCAATTTATTACTCGCTTTTTACGTTATTTGGCAATTCAATGTAATGAAATTCTGATTGGGACTAGCTGGTCAGACAACAGAGCACAGAAAACAGCTGTTGCTTAACTGTGCTTCACTTTCAGCTCACTTGTGCGCCAAGTGTGCCAACCCCCGCAACCCACATTAACACATTACCACATCCAATTGGGTTACAATTCATGCGTTCTGTTTTGATTTTGTTCGCCTATTTATCACGTTTTCTGTTGCCCACAAGCACACACTCGCGCAAGCCTATTATATAATTTGCCAAATTTAGACAGCATTAAATTATGCTGCCAAGACAACAACGATAACACACCTTTGTTTTTGTTGTTAACACAGATTATATGCGTATTTGCTTCTGGCACGCAGCAACAACAGCAACAACGCAGTCGTTTTGCAGCGCACGCACATGCACTCACTAGCTGTGGCTGGCAATTCTGGGCGCCACGCTCATTTATTTTGCTTTAATTCACAACACGTAATTGTTATTATTTAATACATAATAATCATTTGCAGCGCGGCTTTGTCTTTCCGTCTATTCTGACCATTTGACAAAAACATCGAGAACTGTATGAGCACCAGGGCTGCAACGCTAGCGTAGTAACGAGCGTTGCCACATCGCTGAAATAGTGTTGCATTTGGCCTCTGGTAGCACAGCACTGCTGCAGCTAACTTCACGCGAGACGCACTTGGAGCAAAACAGCAAAGTATCAAAGCATAAAAATATATAAAAACAATGAATGTATCGAATTTAAATGACTTGCGATCCTATTCTCGACACTGGCTAACCGAATTCATCGAACAGTACCAGGAGGAGGAGTGTTTGTGGCAGCCAAAGCATCATGACTACAGCAATCACGCCGCCAGAAATAAAGCGTACGACAAACTGGTTGAAAAACTAAAAGAAGTTGAGCCAAATCCAGATCGCGCCATGGTCGTTAGGAAAATCAACTCACTGCGCTCGGCATTTCGGCGCGAGTTTCGCAAATCCAGCAGCAAAAGCGATTACGAGACGCGTCTCTGGTACTACGACAAGCTGCTCTTTATAGCCGATCACAAGCCCAAACGGCACTCGAACGAATTGGTTGGCAAGCCCAAGCGTGAGCTGCACATCAATTTCGATGACGAGGATTCCATGGATTTTGAGGAGGAATCGCATCATACGCCACAGTCACAGCACATTGAAACAATTGTGCCCAACACAAACGAAGAAGTCGAGGAGGTGGCCGCCACCAACAATGTGGTGGTCAGTAGTCAGGGCGCCACGCTAAGCACCATATCAGTGACGCCGGCGGATTGTGTGACATTGGTTAAGGATGAGTCACATCAGACACACAGTGAAGTAGCGGAGGCGCATCAGCGTCTAGTCGCACAAGCCACAGCCGCACAAAGTTCCCTGGCCGCTGCTGCGGCTGGCGGTCATGCGGTCAAGGTGCTAGAGATAACATCGCTGGACTCGAATTCGCAACGTGAGATACAACAGGTGAGTATTGGCACATGGCCACTAGCACAGATGGTATAGTAAAAGTTCTGCCTTGCAGGCTGTCAACTCGCTCGAGCACCACCAGCAGCAACTGCAGCATCTTCACCATCAGGCCAATGGACATGGACAGTCAGTGCCAACCATTCAGATTGGCCGCGACCATTACCAGCCGCTGTTTGGCAATGCTGCGACCACCGCGTATACCACAACCGCGCCCGCCACGTCGCATCGTCACGAGGATGAGTACGATGCCATTGGCGTGAATGTGGCCAGCAAATTGCGTTCTATTAATCACACGCAACGCATAATTGCTGAGAAGCTCATCAGCGATGTCCTCTTCAATGCGCAACTCGACAATCTCACAGTCAATTCCTCGTTGACGCAATAATTTATATTTTAAATTAGGTGTAGATGTGTATGTAAACGGAAACTCAAGCGTTCGTTTCATGCGGGCAGAGTTTATTTTACATAAGCAAATATGTATGTATTTACGTCGTCCGTTTATGTGTTAGTGTGTATATTACAGTTTAAAGTTTTTGTAGCTCTAATTAATGCATCACTTGAATGCAATAAATAGTTTTTAATTAGTTTAACAACACAGCATTTTGGACATGATCACTTGGTCGGGCTGTCGCTCGAGTTGCCCTTCTCCGGATCATCGCCAGTTAGTCTCCTCAACGCGTATTTGGCAAACTGCAAAGTTGTATTATATTTAAATATATATAACTTCACTTTAATCAATCAGTTTTTCGGCACGCACCGTAATTGGAGGCAAATCAATTTGTTCCTCAACGGTAACCAGTTTGCGGTTCTCTTGCAATATCTTCCATCCAAGGTGTACGGCAATCAGGGTGGGTATCATCACTACGGCGACTATGTTGCGCGAGAAAAACGATTGTTTTTGTGGTGCCGGCATCTTTATTAACAATTTATGACAGGATCACAATTATTGTTTTTGTTATTTAACATGTTTGTTTATAGCGATAACATCGATAATGTGCATGTTTTCGATTAATTTGCTTATGTGCTAAAAAATACCCACATTTTACCTAGAAGATGGCAACGCTGCTCGTTTGGCGCCAGAAATTGATGTTTTTAGCATACGTCATGTCAACAAGTCGGCAATTAAAATTAAAACTCCCAATATTGAATTGACTTGGCGAAGGTTGCATTTTGTGGCTTATAAGCAAGAGTAGGCATAAGCAAAATACTTTCATACTTGGGCTATGCTTACCTTCGCATAGCCGGGAGTTATTTTGTGAGCAAAATGTGCAAGGTCTAATGATTAATGCATCTAGTCTTTTATTTGCATAAACTTAAATGCAAAGCTTCGGAACCGGACGGCTCGTAGGAATTATCGGTCGAAAACGTATTAATTTCAATGATTAAAATCGTACAGCTTAGATGTTGAGTGTATTACAAGAATCGGTGTTTTTTCTAGCTAAATGTTGTTTACCTACAAAGTTACCTTTGACTTAATTGTTGCCAGCTGCTGCTGAGCGCATAGATTTTACCTGTGTATGAGTGGACAGCCAAGTGTCTTTGTTCCCAGCAATCCTCCCCTCTCTATCTCTCTCTCTTTCTCTTTCCCTCCCGCCTACATATAGCACACAGCATAGGACGCGTGAATAATGGGATTTGTGCGAGCAAAGTACGTTATATACAGCGAGGGGGCATTGCAGGGAGTTTGTCGTCGGCGTGTCTCAGCTGCCTTCTGTGAACTTTGCACACAACAACAACAAGAAGAAGAAGAGCAGCAATATCAATACAAATAAAAATAAACAAACAACCTGCTCAAGCGAGTAGCCAGCGTCACTTGCACTGCCTCCGTTGAGAGTTAGTTTCGGCAACACTCGCAACCTATTCACAACAAAGCAAGCGTAAAACAGTTATTGCGATTATTTACGAGTTTGTAAAAACGACACGAAACGAAACGGGAAAGAAAATTCCAGTTGTTTAAGAGAAGTTAGTTACGGGTTTTGTGTCTTGCTTTGCTGTCTTTGAGTGCTCCTTTCACGCTCTTTGTTGTTTTTTATTTCCATGTTCGTTTCCATTCGATCCCAATTGCCATTCCCATTTGTTCCACGTACCGGGCGCTATGCAACCCAGTGACGCGTGTGTTAAAATCGATAATCGCCTTTGTGCGCCTCCACCTGGAAAGTGTCCTGCTCGACGGGTAAGTGGACTAAGTGTTTGGATTTGTCGCATGGCTCAAAGCGCTTATTGTAACCTGCCTATTGTTGCTGTCTGGCTCTTTGGTTCGCTGTGGAGCATGTATGCCTGGATGCAGAAAGATACAGATGAACGCCATCCAGCCCACAATATTGACAATTAGGGCCAGCATTGCGCCATAGAATAGGATGATAACTATTTTCTCTCGTCGCGGACGGTCGGCCCATGGCACATGATCCCGTTGGAACTGTGTGGCAGTTGGACTTTCTTAAGAACTCTCTCGCTCTCTCTCTCCCTCTCTCTCTCTCTTTCTTTCTTACTCTCTTACCGGCATTTTAAGTCGGGCAGCAAGAGCGACTAGTAAATTGTCGCCCATTTCAAAAATTTCACATTTACAGAATAAAATTAGACACTAAATAAAAATATGAGGTTTATGTTTACACTGTTTGAAATTGCACGTTCTTTAGATACACAGATACTTCATATATTATACATGGTTATATGTTATTTCTCATCAAACTATTAAAGAGTTTTAATCTCTTTTATCTTTTTTCTGCTCTTAAATACATACATATACATCCAATAAAAGGTGTCAGACACTTGTTAAACTGAGAGTATAGGTCAGTCGAGATTTGGGAGCTATACATGTTATATAGTGTTCAAATCTGATCTTGAGTTCCATCTGTATAATTCTTATAACATTTTATAGAATTTCCAGGATTAAAGATCTCATTTTCATAAACAATCACAATGGATTTAAGTTTAATAAAATGTCATATTTATTAACATTCAGAGGATAGTTCCATTTTAAATGTTTGATAAATAAAGATAAGCTATGTACGTAGTCAGACTAGGATAGAAATAACCCAACTTTTGAGCTTTCCAAAGATAATGAGCAAAATTTCGGATTATTACGGAAATGATATAGGAGTATGATGTTGATTGCAAACCTCGTAGTTCTCGTAAGCAAACCTCTCGTTGCTTTAAAAACAGAAAGATAAAACGCAGACACACATGGATATAATGTCTCATCTATTGATACCGTGAATATCGTCCGCAAGGATAATAACAGAGCTCTGTGTCATTCCCAATGTTAAATGAGATTTGCAGTTATGTAGATAGGGTATATTTATAATATGATCACATTCTCAGAGCAGTTTTCACTGTATGATACGCTGCTCGCGAAGTGCGGCAATCCGATCAGATCCATAGCCCAGCAGTTGGCCCAGCACCTCGTCCGTGTGCTCGCCCAGCATTGGGGGCGCGGTGCGGGCATCGTTGCGTGCTTCACTGTAGACGACCGGAGGACCGACGACCTTAACGCTGCCGTCGCGCGCATGTGTCAGCTTTTTGACCAGTCCAATGGCCTGGATGTGCTCATCCTCGAACACCTCGCGTATGCTGTTGACGGGGCCCACCACAAAGCTGGCGCCCTCGAATTGATGCATCCAGTTTTTGGAGGTGTCTCGCGCCAGTATCTGGGCCAGCAGGCCGACCAGCTCTTCGCGATGCTGCACGCGATCCTGGTTGCTCTTGAACTTGGCATCCTGCGACACCTGCTCAATGTTCAGCCGGCGGCATAGCTCCACAAACTGGGCATCGCTGCCGGCGCCCAGGGTCAGGTAGCCGTCGACTGTCTTGAAGCTCTGGTAGGGCACAATGCTGGAGTGGGCGGTGCCCCAGCGCTGGGCCTCGGTGCCAGCATTCAAGTAGTTGCTGGCCACGTTGATGAGCAGCGAGCAGCACGTGGACAGCAGATCCACATCGATCTTTTGGCCGCGCTGGGTCCGCTCCCGTTGCAGCAGTGCGGCCAGAATGGCCCCGTGCGCATACAGACCCGTGGCCACGTCTGTAACCGCCACGCCCACCTTGCTGGGCGGCCCATCACGTTGGCCCGTAATATGCAACAGCCCGCCCATGGAGGAGGCTATCACATCGTAGCCCGGCCGCTTGGCATAGGGTCCCACAGAGCCATAACCACTGATGGTGCAGTAGATGAGCCGCGGATTCACTTGACGCAGCTGCTCATAGCCCAGACCGTAGCGTTCCAGTGTGCCGGGCACATAGTTCTCCACCAGCACATCACACTTCCCGGCCAGCTGATGCATCACCTCTCTGCCCCGCTTCATGTCAATGCAAACGCTCTGCTTGTTGCGATTTTGGGCCAGAAAATATGCCGCATCGCCGCTTTGCTCCAGAAACGGTGGCCCCCATTTGCGTGCCTCGTCCCCGAAATACGGACGCTCCACCTTGATGACCTCGGCGCCCAGGTCGGCCAGCACCATGGTGCAATAGGGACCGGCCACAATGCGCGTGAGATCCATTATGCGCACGCCGTGCAGCGGGTGACGCTCATCCACGGCAGACGCGTCAAGGTTAACATTGTTGTTGTTGTTATTATTATTGCTGTTCTCGCTGGCAGCGGCAAAGCTTCGCAAGCTTTGACGCGCAGCAGCGGCTGCGCGTGAGAGACGCAAACGTTGTAACCACATAGATAACTGCGGAGAGTAGCTGTTTATTTTCCAATCAATTGCTGTTTGCTTTTCTATTTACTATCACTTTTCTAGTTGTTGCTGCTGCTGCTTTTGTCGTTGTTGTTGCTTAGGGCTGCGCGCGTATTCTTAATGGAAAGTTTTCCAGACAACTGCTGATCAGCCACTGAACCAAGCACAGCAGACAAGTGAGAGCTTTCTTTGAACAGCGCCCACTATTTGCTCTTAGCGCAGCGCTCCCTCTCTCTCTCTCTCTCTCTCTTTTTAGATATGTTCTTGTGTATTATTGATATTCAAACATACGATAGCAACATGTTAATCGTTATCTATGGCATTAACTAAGCTTGGCATACATTTTATTAGCTCTCTTTCTCTCTCGTTCTCACTCTCTTAATCCGTAGGCAGAGTACATTGCCCTTTATTGCATGCTGCTGGAATGTTCCCCAGTTATTCCCAATAATACAATCAACTATTTTAATTTCTTCCGCTCCATTAGCATTAACCTTGGTGGTTTCCCGTTCTGCTCCAAAATAAATAAAACCTGCTTTGTGTTTTTTTCCCATCAAACTACGCTGGCTCCAAAGGGCACAAAGTCCTACACAACTCAAAATGAATGTTTTTTTTGCGTGATCCCAAGTTTAAAGACTGTAATTTGAACCTCTAGCCAGGCTGGGATTCTAGCACATCCCCCTAAGTACTTTAATTATATTTTGATGTTTATAAGCAACGCTCTTAATTAGCCGGCTTAAAACTGAGATCGCTAATGGTTGCGCAATTAAAAAACAATTTTTATCTCGTAGACAGCTAACTGACAAACATTTAAGTGTTTACAGAACAAAACAAAAACAAAAAATACCAAATTGCAATTAAAAAGGGCGTCAGGCATCAGCGCCCCATCATATTAGCCCCCAGAATCTAATACTCCCACCATATCAGTTATATATATATATATATAATGTATGTGTATGTGTGTGTTCATATTTCTGTTATTATTTGTTTATTTTCGTGAACGTTTTGTTTTCCAGACAGATAGAATAAATAAATAAACTGCATTTATTTTACTTATTTTCCCAATGATCTCAGTTTCAAATTCGCCTTTGTCCAGCTCTTGTGTACGTCATAGTAATTAGCTGACTTTGTTTTCGTTACATAATTAACTCGGTAATTTGTTGTAATCTGTGTAATTAGCAGTCCAAAGGAACAACTTTGCTCAGGTTCTTCGCACTTAAACAATAACAACAAAGTCAAATAAATCGGAGCTTGTAAGTTCGTGTAATTGCCGCTTAGCAGGAAACATTGCAAGCCATTAGCTCCATTGACGCAATAATCGATAAAGATATGGCTAAGACAGCAATAAGCCACACTCAGAGAAAAAATAGATCAACTTTGAACCAACCAATTTTTTAATATTTTTAAACTTTATTCAATACCGAAATAATAATATATTCAAATACAAAAGCAAAAGAAAAGAAAATCTAAATGCGTTTATTCAAGATATCTTGGATATGCCTAAGACTCAAAGAGGAAAACCAAAACCCAAGCATTTTTATTTTTTAGTTGTAACATAGAAAGTTAGTGTAGAAATCATAGACAACTCATACTTAACTTGAAGATATTAAAGATGCGCTTAAATTTCAAAGAACAAATCATAATGACCAACTCAATTCTCCGAGTGTATTTACAATGGGATTTACAAATGAACTTTAAAGCCGCGCCGAAGCATGTAACGAACTGAACTTAAGAGCAGCTGCGTATTTTAAGAGAGCGCCATTAAAATCCGAACCGGTTCGAGCTTTCGGCTCAGCGCTGAGCGAGCGTGAAGTTTGCAGCGAGCAGAGCTCGCTTAAATGTTATGCCCCACGCTGGCTGTTCATTTATTTACTTAGCGCGCGTCATTCGCAGCGGTTCGTTCGTCAAATCGCGGCTCGTTTTAAATTCGTTCCACTGGGCCAAGTTGCCAAGTGCAGTCACAGTTGCGATAGACACCCCTCCCCGGCCCGCCCCCACACACACATAAACAAGATATAGTGCAACAAAATGAAAGCCAGTGAAACGTTAAGCATGCGTTTGCAGCGCATACAAATTTGTTTAGAAAAATACAATCGCTGCAGCAACTAAATTGAATAATTCGGTTAGCACAAGATGCAGTCGCGCTCAAGAAAGTGTTGCCACCAGCTATTAGCCAACTGACCAAAAAAGTAGAGAAAAATAAAAATAAAAAAAGAAGTATTAAGCCATAGCCAGCTTCATAGCCAACATCGTGTTCGAGTTCGTGTCGTGTGTTGTGTTGTGCAAGCGCAAATCGCAGCAGCCGCTGCCGTTGCCGCTGCCGCGTAGACGACGACGACGCAGTCGGCGCCTCAGTCGCTGCAATTGCAGGCCAGCTGCATATTGCATATTGCACAATCCTGTCGCTTGTTGGCCAACCTGTTCGCTTGTATCTGTTGGCTACAGCTTTAATCAAATCAAATTAAATAAATACCCATATATATATTTATAGATAAATATATATATATATATATATATACATTTGATAATTTCACTTTGAAGCCGTTTAACGTCAAGCCGTCAAAATTGCTGTGCTACTGTGTTCCAGGATCCTGGGGTACATCATGCGGCGCTTCCTGCGCTCGGCCATGATTGTCTTCAGCTGGTTTGTGGTGCCCTACAGCCGCTACACCAACATCAAGGTGATGCGGCGCAAGCTGCCCCCCATACGCAGCCATCTGCTGGAGATACCTGCCGTCGACCTGGCCAAGCTGATTCGCAACAGAAAGGTAAGTCCCACTATTACAGCTTACATTGGTCACTTGACCAAAACCACTTGCTCATAAGAAAACAGAAAAAATAAAAATAAAATAAACCTCAATCGAACGCACCTCAAATTGGCGAAATCTTGCAAAATATCTCCATACAGCTTGACAGTCGGGCAGGGGGGCGGTGGCTGGGCATTCAGTCTACAATCTACAGTCCACTTAATGCACGCGCCAAGTCAACGACAACAAAGGCCACTCACAACGCTTGCCACATCTATTAGATACTTTGTGGCAAAGTTAAGGCAATCTGCTGTTGATGACCACTCGCTGTAGCCAAGTGGACGCCCATTAGCAGGCTGTGTCGCAGGTGTTGACTGTGCTCACCTTTAACACAAAGACATTGCATTAAAATCCCAACTCTTAAATTGTCAAAACATAAAGTTTATTTGGGGTTCAAAAACCCTAGACTTCAATGGGGCTAAGCTGTCCTAAAGTTATAAAATATTTATTTAAATTTCATATATGAAAATATGAAAAATGTTGTGGCATGATCTACATTTGAACAAAATTATATTTAAATTAAATAGAATTGAAAAACAAAATACAGATTTTGATTGATATTTACAACATAAAACAAACAATATTCAATTTAATTTTGTATTGACCCCGATTCTCTTTTAGGTTTAATAAATTTTTGATTTTAAATTTTACAAAGTTTGGCTTTACAAACGTCATATTTGAACTGAATATTATATGTATAAAAAAAGAGAATTAAAAGATGTAAATATAATAGAATATTTGTTCTTCAAACACTTTCGTGTTTATTGTCTTATCTTAATGAGTTTTATTGTGCTTTAAGCTGACATTCAAACTTTTGTAGCAGGTATCAAAAACAAGGCTATATCTACCTCTAAACGTGATTTTGTTGAAGGAAATAACAAATCTTGATACATGTATATTATATACATGATATAAGAAAAAACCTTGCCGGATTGCGGGTATTTCCAGTCCTTACCCGGGGCAAATTTTGTGCCTACATTTTAGATATAACTTGTTTACCTTTTCCTATTCCTATTTAAATCTTCCAGTACTATCTTGAATATAACGTCTAGAGCTATATTTGGCATAGATATTTGAAAATAAGTTGGAAAGACATCCTATGAAGAAAAAATACGTCCGTTCATTAAACCTTTGACCCGCATCAAATAAATATTCTCAAAGTACTTTGAAAATTAATTTGAAGCCGATCGGATGATAAATAAAGAAGTTGCATACATTCGTTTTTTCGCGACTTTTCCACATCTTCGGGTGGAATTTCCCAAAAGCCCGTCTTAGCGTGCACCTCCATCACAAAAGGTAGCTAAAGTGAAAAATTCAGCTTCCTAGCTCTTATGATATGGGCTGTGCCTCAATCACCAATCAGTCAGTCAATCAGTCATTCAGTTAGTGAATCAGTCAGTCAGTCAGTCAAGGCAAACAGTTTTATATAGGAGAGCCTAGATAACAAATCTGGATGAAATTTAGTCGGAAATGCCTTCTTTAGCATGTGACCATTCCTTATTTCCCTTCCCATTCCCTTCCTCAATGAGATCAGTATCTGTTATAATCATTTTTTAAATAATATAATTAAAATATATCTTTAACTTAAAAACATAACTCATATTCCTTGAAGTTACTTAGGAGCAAAAATATAAAAGGAATTTCAAGTATATCGACATGCTTCGATGGCTGCAAATTTGGTTACTTTTTATATGCATTTCATAAAAAAAATTGCCATTACACTTTTTGGCCCGCGTCAGGTGTGTGCAAATCCTAATTGCAATTCGTGAATAGCCAAAGGTATAAACCGTAAATAACTCATCCCAATTTGAATTGAAACAAAGCATTTTATTGTACGTATGCATATGGGGCCGTTGTCAGTTTCAAAATCAGGCTGTGGAAATGCCAGTACGGCAAATCGGTTAGCTAACCGCGGCCTAGAGAGGTTGCTTGTCTGTTTGGCTTGGCCATATGTCGGCCATATCAATAACATCTGGTAACTGCCTCAAATTACACAGAGACACACACGGTCGAGAGTCAGGCGAGATGACGAATCCACTAAAAAAAAAGAGTATCTGCGAAATATGCTCAGAAATAATTGCCAGCTCTGGTCTGGTTATGTTTGTTGTTGCACTTATTGTTGTTGTTGTTGTTGGTGTTGTTATTATTGTTGCTGTTGCTTGGGCTGCTTTAGCCTGGTTTGCTGTGCTCTGTAAGATTCATTGCGTTCGTTGGTCCACATCCACACAGAGCGCACTTAAGGTCATGACTTGACAGAGCTTATCGAGCCAGCACACACACACACACACACACACACAGACACGCACACACACACACACACACATGTTTATATATTGCGTATTTCTTTTGGTTTAAGTTTATCGTAATTGTTTATAAAGCGTGCTGTTTGTTTATATTTTAGTGCACGTTCATATAACGTTCAAGTTTCTTTTGGTTTATGCGAGCAATGTGCACTAAAATCATTATTTTAATTATGATTTTTATTATGTTCGGCTTTTATTTGCGTTTTCATTGTCGGTGCTTAAACAGTTTCTTCATTTTATTTACGCAAATTTTGTAAACAATTATTATTTTATTTTTTTAGTTCGTTTATATTTTCCTTTTTTTTTTCCAAACCAGTTGGGCTCTGCTCCGCTATCAGCTGTGCGTGTCTCTGTTCGCATTCGAGACCGGGTCATCGTCAGAGACAACTGCGACAACATTTTGTTTAATTGCTACTCAAATTGAGATTTATTTAAACAATAAGTGGAAGGGGCAGTGCAAGTGCTGTGCTATAGATATAACATATCTACATATACATATGTACACCCGCAAAAACAGACACTCAAGAAATGAGCAAAAATCGTATTCATGTATAGAGTGTTTATTTTGTATTATTAAAAGTAAAAATAGCTAATTCAAACCATGTATCAATCAATAGCAACCATATCAATTTCATCAGTCCAGCCTCAAGCTGTCAATCATCATTGTAACTAAACCGAAGAAGAATTTTTCCCACTTGCTGCTCACGTACACGCCACACGGACACGCGTTGAAAGCACATCGCAAGACCCACCAGTTGCATTGCACTAATACACGTACATAAACCAACACACACACACACACACTTAGCTAAGCACTGCGAGGTATTGCCCTAGTCGAATGACCAGCTGGTGCTTAAACTTGCTTTTTTATCTCGGTTTTCTTTTTTGTTATACCCTTGCAGAGGGTATTATAATTTTGTCGTGAAATGTGTAACGCATAGAAGGAGACATCTCCGACCCCATAAAGTATATATATTCTTGATCAGTATCAACAGCCGAGTTGATATAGCCATGTCCGTCTGTCCGTCTGTCCGTCTGTCCGTCTGTCTGTTTCTATGCGAACTAGTCTCTCAGTTTTAAAGCTATCTTTATGAAACTTTGCAGAAGTCCCTCTTTTTGTTGCACGCAGTTCATATGTCAGAACCAGCTGGATCGGACCACTATATCATATAGCTGCCATAGGAACGATCGGTCGAAAAGTAGGTTCTTGTATGAAAAACATTTTTGTTTATAAAGTAATCTTGACTAAACTTGGTATTTATTAGTTTTACTACGCTCCCCATATATATGCAAAATCCTATTAAGATCGGACAACTATATCATATAGCTGCCATAGGAACGATCGGTCGAAAATTAAGTTTTTGTATGGAAAATTTTTATGTTTTTCAAGATATCTTGACCAAACTCGGTATTTATTAGTTTTACTACGCTCCCCATATATATGCAAAATCCTATTAAGATCGGACAACTATATCATATAGCTGCCATAGGAAAGATCGGTCGAAAATTAAGTTTTTGTATGGAAAATTTTTATGTGTTTCAAGATATCTTGACCAAACTCGGTATTTATTAGTTTTACTACGCTCCCCATATATATGCAAAATCCTATTAAGATCGGACAACTATATCATATAGCTGCCATAGGAACGATCGGTCGAAAATTATGCTGTTGTATGGAATTTTTTTTGTTTTTCAAGATATCTTGACCAAACTCGGCATTTATTAGTTTTACTATGCTCCCTCCACTTTTGCAAAATCTTATTCACATCGGGCTACTATATCATATAGCTGCCATAGGAACGATCGGTCGAAAATTAAGTTGTTGTACGGAAACCTGTTTTGTTTTTCATGATATCTTAACCATACTCGGCATTAACTATTTTCCCTGTGCTTCTTAGATACGGGCATTTTGCTTAGATAAGCATTTTGAAAAGGTTGGGTCTGCAAGGGTATTAAATCTTCGGTGTGCCGAAGATAGCACTTCTTTCTCGTTTGTCTTTCCCTTTGACTTAAGCAAGAAATATCTGAATCTGTGTCTCTGTGTCGCGATTACATTGCATGTTTTCTTTTGGCTTTATCAACAATTACAACAAGCAACAAGTAGTTGGGCATGTCAATTGACGCACAAAAGTCTGAGACTGTGACTAACTAGCTGTCGATAATTATAAGAAACTTAAATATATAGAGAGATTTTTGTACTGTACCTTCCATGTCTGACACAATTCGAGCTCTGACGGGGCAAGCAGACAATCTGAGCTACCAAATATATAGTTACTTAAAATATATAAATTCACTTGTACTATCAAAAAAGGTGAGTTTCTATATTTGACAAACCTATATAATATATGATAGATCCAATTGTTTGCTTATAAAGCATAGTAAAATTCCTCTAGAAAGGCTGAAAAAATTGTAAAAAGCATTGCATAAAACTTGGAAGACTGAGGTTGAACCCTGGCGGGGTTTAATTTAATCGTTGAATTTGGTTATACAATTTCAATATCTTGAATATTTATATAATATAATATTTTGTAGTTCCGATTGTCTGCTAACAAAAGACAGACAGACATATATATCTCATATATGTATATCCCAATTTAAATAGATTTACAAGACTTTAAGGAATACAACTTATATAGAACCAAAGTATTTCCGGTCTTATAAAAAAGGTATATGTATTTCATATAAAGGGTATCAGCTGTTTCGTCTCACTCGGCTCACATATTTTCCACTTTTGAGTGGTGTCCGAACCCGTTTGCTTTTCGTCAACGGGTTGACCCACTGTTGAACAGTTTTCTGCCTTCACTGGGTCTTCAGGCAACACACTCACCTTTACATTCATGTAGCTGGTGTGTATTTGCTTGTAACTGATTTATGCACAACGCAGGTTTTTACAAAACCCCACGCATGTTGCACCCCGCCACGCCTTCTTCGCTCCTTCACACGTCTTGCCACACTAGCTGGGTGCATAAAAAGTTTGCGTTCGAGTTGCGGCCGCATCTGATTTATTATTACGCTGGAAGTCATTGAAAAAGTCAAGTAGCCTTAATTTTAATAATGTACGTATCTGCTCGTTTATGTACATAGTGTTGTGTATTAATGTATTAGCACCTGGGCGTGTACTACGTACTATGTACTGTACTTAAGCTTACATAGTTAAAGCATTTCAATTCTCAATGTAACTTTAGCCAGCAGGCATAGAAATTTTACAGGCAACTGTCAAAATGTCATCTTCAATTAGAATGCAATCGAATGTATATGTTTATATGTTAATTTAAACAGTCCAAATTTCACTTTACTTCATTTAAAATACGTTTGCGGCTTAAAAGTATATCCATTGAATTATTGATATATTGGAAGCTCTACTGTATCTTTTGTCTAGATTTTAAAAATCCTTATAAGGAGTAAATTACATTGCAACAGAAACGATCGCTCGAAATTTAAGTACTATGGAAAACGTTTTTGTCTATTAAGATATCTCTTTTTATTTTTTTATTCATATAATAAAGGATCGACCTTCTGACTGTCAGCAAACATAAAATTGTCGTCAAAGAGCTTATAGTCTAGAAAAAATAAAAACAAATAGATTTATTAACCAGTGCTAACTGCGTCCAAAAAAATTTCTTATAATTATAATTCAAATAAACTATAATAATTATAATTAAAAAATAGGATTAAGGAAAAACAAATACATTATACAAATACATACGTTTCAAATAACGTGTTCGGCACGATTGAGGGTATTTTATTTGCCGTGCCCGGCCCGGCACATTTAGAGGCTTTCATTAAAAATATTCATTTAGTTTGCCCAAGAATGTCTGGCTTTATAGAATGCGCCCTCCTTCCCTCTGCCCAATCGTCAATTGAAAATCCGCATATTACTCATACGCCATGTCGCACGCAGCGGCATTCTTTCCCCCGTCTCTCGGCGAACACAATACAATTGGCATGAATGTGGATTTTTTTTTATTGATTTTAATTTAACGTAAATTGCTTTTGTGTCGACGCTAGGTTCTCACAAGCAATTAAGCGACAAGAATGGAACAATAAGACATTTATAAATAAGTACAAAATAAGTTTTGATGTGTAGAAAATGCGGAAATGATCAAAAGACTTTGTTTTCTTACTTTCATCCCATTGCAGATTAAAAGCGAAGAAGTGGTTGAGGCCTACATCGAACGCTGTCGACAGGTACATAAAATCAAAGCTGATTTATCACTCGGTATCGGGTTTAATAATTGTGTGTTTATATATATTCGAAATGATCCACAGGTAAATCCGCTGATCAATGCGATTGTGCAGGATCGCTTCGAGGAGGCGCTGGAGGAGGCGCGCGAGATAGACAATGTGATTGCCATGGGCATCAATAGCGTCGAGTCCATGGAGGAGCACACACCGCTGCTGGGCATACCGGTGACGGTGAAGGAGAGCATTGCCGTCAAGGGTTTGACCAATCAGGCGGGTCGTGTCTTTAAGACGCCGCAAATAGCCAAGTCGGATGCGCCCGTCGTGGAGCAGATCAAACGCTGCGGCGGCATCATATTGCTGGTGTCGAACACACCGGAGCTGTGCCTGCTCTGGGAGACGTACAACAATGTGACGGGCCAGACAAAGAATCCGTACGACTTGAAGCGCACACCGGGCGGCTCCTCGGGCGGCGAGGCGGCGCTGCTGGCGAGCGGCGCCTCGCTGCTGGGCCTCACCTCGGACATTGGCGGCTCGTCGCGTTTGCCGGCCATGTTCAGTGGCATTTGGGGTCACAAGCCCACGCCGTACGCGGTCTCGTTTCGCGGCCATCATCCGACCAGCGATTTTCCCAAATGGGGCGACTTCTTTACCATTGCGCCCATGACACGCTATGCCAAGGACTTGCCGCTGCTGCTCAAGTGCATGAGTGATCCGACTGGGCCGAAATTGACGCTGGACAAGGAGATCAGTGCGAATGGCATACGTTTCTTTTTCATGGACAACGACGGGCCCTCGGGCATGATGCGTCCGCTCAGCCGGGATCTGCATGCGGCCATCAATCGTGTGGCCAGCGACTTCAATGCGAAGCGCGTCAATATACGCAAAATGAAATGGTCGCTGGACATCTCGCTGTCGGCCATGCTGACCATGAAGAACATCGAGACCATTTACCACAAGACGGAGGAGGGCGAACAGCCAAAGACCGTGTGCAAGGAGACGGTCAAGTATTTCTTCGGCTGCTCGGACAGCATATTGCCCTCGGTCATCTTCGGTCACCTGCAGAATTTCATGAAGATAATACCCAATTCGCGGCACAAGCATCTGGCCAGCATCATCGAAGCGCTCAAGACTGAATTCAAGGAGCTGCTCGGCACAGATGGCGTTTTCCTCTATCCCACATTTCCCAATACCGCCCACCAGCATTATCAGATCTATCACAAGCTGCTCGAGCCCATGTATATGGCTATATTCAATACGCTGGGCCTGCCCGTTACCAACTGTATGATTGGCCTGGATCGACGCAATCTGCCCATGGGCATACAGGTGGTCGCCAATCCGGGCCAGGATCATCTCTGTCTGGCCGTGGCACGCGAAATGGAGCGTCGTTATGGCGGCTGGGTGCGTCCGCCCTCGGAGGATAGCCACACTTACGCGCAGTCCAGTGGCAAGCGGGGCTGAGCCCGTCTTTCATTTAGTGAATTATTTCATTCGTCATTCGTCATGCACATACATATTTTTGATTCCATCTAGTTATCCCATAGTTAACTATGTGACATTTTGTTGAAATCCCAAAGAAAATTATAGAAAATTTGGCGTACTTTTTACACTTTTCATTTGGAGCTTTCTTTCCTTCATTTATATTCTTTTCACACATCACACATTTAAGTTCACATATTAAATTATTGCTTTTGTATTTGTCCAAATTATTGTTGTATTTACTCTAAATCATATTGTATGTATATATGTATATGTATGTATTAATATACATATATTCTTGTAGATCTTAAGTGTTAGGTTTTTATGGCCGCAACTGGCAGTTTAGATGATAACTATCCATAATTTGTGTATTGTATATTCTTTTTAGCAACTGTTTCGTATTGTAAAATCACAGTGAAATATGTGAATATTCATTGGGATTGATTGGATACCTGAACAAAATTTGTACCAGAAACGATAAATATATATTTATATATATTTTCGCATTGAGCCAAATTGTGGAATAAACAAATTATAATATCAGGCAAATGTGTTTTTTAAGAACTTCTCTTGCGCAAGCCTCGCAACAGGTTGGCCTCCAGTTCACGGCAGACTCTCTGTCAAGCCAGGCCGTGGGGCTGGGAGGGGAGGGGAGGGGGCCCAAACTAGGCGCTGTTATGGGCTAATAACGAACATAATAAGCTACAACAGACAAACAAAGCAAAACTGGCTAATAAGCAGCTACTGGCAGAGTCGCAAAACAAATGGTTCCACCTGGCTGAACCCCCAGCACAGAACATTAAAAAAAAAGAGTTTGGTTTGTGTATGCATGTATGTGCACATATACATATATGTACATACATATGTATATAGACACACATACACATGCACAGCTTAAGTGCATGCAGCACCTGCCCCTGGGCAACCAAGGCGAATCACTAGCTCTTTTGCCGCCGGATCTTAATCGCCCAGCAGTCGCTGCTTTTAAGTGTTGTCATTTTATTGGCCTGGCTAACTAGCCGGGCAGCCGCCCGTTGGCGTAGCCAAGCACACAGTTAGATTTTTCGACTATTTCATTTTTGTTTTTATTTTTGGTGGCTTTTGGAGTAGCTCAAGGTTTTGACAATATGGCTTGCGCAATTGCGCTGGCGGCCTGGCTCTAAGTTTTCAGACAGAACGTGTTATTTGGCCAAAAATTGGAGGTAAGTTAAATTCTGGCCAAAGAATGTGGCGGCCAGTTTTTTTAGCATGGCCAGAAACTATCATGAACTGCAGCCCGCAATTAACACGCGCAGTAAATTTTTGACTGTTTTAATTAGCATTATGGACTCTACCATAGCCAAGTTCTGTTGCTGGCCGAAGAGGGCTAAAATGAAAATTTGTAAGCCAAGTATTTTTAGCTACCTGTCGAGAGACGGTCAAAAGAAAAATAGAGAGCGAACTCAGCCGAGCATCGCTGACTGGAAAGCAACTAGCAGCCGAAAGAGCGAGAGCGGGAGAGAGCGAAGAGAACATGTAACTATGGTAACCGTGCAACCGCGCACGGTTGCCACATGTGGTACGATATACATATGTACCAAAAAGGTTCATTTGGTTACCAGCATTTACTCTTTTCATTGAGCATTGAGTATTTTACAAAGCCAGATTTAAAGAAAACGCAGCTTTTTATACGTATTTCTACCAATTTACTTTTTACTTAAATTTGGTACATTTTCTTGTAATTTTTGTTTGAAAATATTTTTAAGTGACAACCATGGCCATATGTGGTACAATTTAACCAAATCTTGTACTTTCTCTCACGTTTCGTACCTGGAACTTTTTTGAAATTTTAATTTTAGAACTCTTTGGTCTTGTGTTAAATTTTGCACATACATATATGTTGCATAAATTAAAATTTAAGTCTTTTTAATTTTCCCAAATACCCATGGCTGAAAATCCACGAGTTAAGTACCAAATATTTTCAACTATGCCTTTCTTCTACAAAAAAGGTACTTCTTAATGAAATTAGGTACATCTTAAGGTACAAAATTTTGTTTTAAAGTAGCAACCGTGCATGTAACAGTAGAAAAATGCTGAGCGTAACAAATTGAATTCTCATTGAGTAGCCATCAAATTAAGCCGTTATCAATGCTGCACACACACATTCACATACATACAAGGTGTGCAGAGAGCGTGAGAGTGAGCGCACAGCGCTGACCATTCCAGTAGTCAGCAACATTCCAGTTGTCAGCAGCATTCCAGTCACTTAAAATGGCTGTCTTCAGTCTGCAGCCAAGCCTATCCCAATTCTGGCCGCTGTGCACCTCGTTCATTACAAATTCGACTCAAGCAGCGTGCGGTTGTGTCTGCGCATAAGATCTGACTTTAGACTTCTAAATAGATGCACATACATACATAGTTAGGCTGTACTATTGATAATGTTTTTTTTTGGTCTCTTTTATTCTGCACATTTGAGGTGACAAATTGATTTCATATTTGTTTACCGTGATCTATGCAGATAGATTAAAACTGTGTCGATTACCGTGTTAAATCAACTAAATATCAAGTGTGATCTTAACTCCGTAAGACTCAGACACGTGTTTGCTATTCAGCAGACGCATTTCGATTTGGCCAATGCCACGTGTAGGCCAATACTATTTTTAATTAAGTTACATATTATAGATTAGATTAAGTTCCTTATAAATTAACCAATTCTGGATGATTTTAAAATTACTAATCTTCAAAATTGTTAAAAACCTATTCGTTCTAACCTATTTAAATAGTGATGTTGATGAAGGCATTGTGCACAGGTGTATTTATCAGATTCCATTTTCTAGACTTTGGTTTGCACAAAATTCCATTTTTAAGATAAGATTTCGGTAGTCTTGAGGCATCTAGTCTTCGGCAGTTCAAAGACAGACAAATTTAATTTTCATACCTAGTCTTATGAAAGCATTCGTATAATTTAAAGAACCCTTGAACAATTGAATATCAAAACAAATTACTTATACATATTTTAGACATGATTTCTATAGCGTCAGCGCATAAAGTAACCTACAATTAAACTCCAGATTCTTTATAAGTATTTAATACATGATGCTGAAGCTATTTACATTACTCGAAATGCATATTAAAAACAGATCGCGTACAGCATTTAACTGGGCCATAAGAATCGACTTATTTCATACTTATAAAGGCGAGCGCAAGAAACTTAACAGTTACAAATTTCATACGATGAAAAACTAAAAAACCAAACGTGTGTTTAAAAAAACGGAACATGTGATGGCGGATGATGTGCGGCTCAGACTACTTCTCTTTCAGGGCTTGGGATTTGCGTGGCTTGGGCTCTGGCGGATCGATGAGGTTGCCATGACGCACAACATCGATATGGCCCAGACGTATCATTTTCTCCTCCCAAATCGAAATGTTTTTTCTGCAAGGCAAATGGGCGTTAATGAAAGCTATTTTGATAGATTGGAGTTGGGTAGTGTACACACTTGTACTGGTCCAGTTCCTTGCGTGATTCGCGCAGATAGACTGCTTTCTCTTCGTCCGAGAGGCGAGTCCATTTGGCGGTTGTCTTTTGGTGCCACTCGCGGTACGTTTGATTTGGTGTTTGTGGCGTATTCGTGCGCTCGCTGGCCACAAAACGCAGAAAGGCGGAGGCCGGCTTCTTGGGGCGTCCCAGTTCCTTGACACGTTTGCGCAGCTGTTTCCGCTCTTTGGCATCGTTGATGTCCTGTTTCATCTGCTTGATTTCGGCGCGCTGCTGGTCGGTGAGCGTGGCATCATATTTGGTGCGCTGCTCCAGGTAGAGCTCCTGATCCTTTTTGTACTCTGACTGCAAGCGCTCCTTCAGCTTGGGATCGACATCCACCCAGCTCTTGGACAGTTGGCGCACAACCTCGATTGTGGCTATCTTTGGATCCTTTTCCAGCATTTTGGGTCGCATTTCGCGCATGAAGCGAAAGTATGGCGTCAGCGGCTTCTTTGGCCTGGGCGGCAGGCCAATCTTCTCCTCCAGCGACTTGGAGCGCAGTGCCGAGCTATTGCTAAGGCTGGCGGCGGCCAATGGTCTGTTTGTGTTTGGCGTAGGTGTGAAATTTTTGTTGATTTGATTTGTATGTGCAGTGTCTGAGTTTTTGGCTACAACTTGCCTGACTTTGTTAATTAGCGACCCGATGAGCGAGCCCCGCGACAGCAGCGTCGATGTGTAAATCATTTTCAATTGGTTTTGTCTTTAATAGCTTTCATAAAAGTTAATACTTTTAGTTTTTTCAGAGGTTTTGCATTAATAACTTGTTGAATTTACAATCTGAATAAGTTTACGTAAAAAATGCGGCGTTTTTCTAGAGTTGCTTTGATTTCTCAGCTGTCAAGTTATCGTTGAAGCTATCGATAGTATCGTTTACAATTAAGAGAAAACACTATCGCCATATATTAAAACATGTTAGATTTGTTTACCACAAATAATAATAGATATATTAATCTACTTACCTATTTGTGGTATGGCTTATAATTATAGAGAATGTCTAAAATAATTATTTTTTATTTTTATATATAATACCTAAGGCAAAATATAATCAATTCCATTAGAGACCCTTATTCCATAACTGTATCACGTTTGAAACGATTTGGCCATTTTGGCCATTGAGTAGACTTTTCTTACTGATATGGCACTTACATTTTTTTAGATAGACATCTTTTCAATACATTTCTATTTCGTTTTTGAATTATAAAACCAAAAATTGTATTTTCTTATCGATAGATAGCTGGTATTAAATGATACTAACATGGTTGTGTAGGTGGCGCCAGTTGCATTTGCAGGCCTGGGCGTTAGGTGCATAGAGGCAGCCATGGCAGTAGAAGTGGAAGCAGGACGACTACAGTTACGCGCGTAAATTTGAATCATATTAAATGGGATTTAATTGAAGCTAATTGAAACGTTCAAGCGCAATTGTTTTAAAAGCCCGATAACTATGGCTATAAGGATAATGTTTTAGTTGTTAGCACTGCATTTTTGTTTATAGGCCGCAAAATGTTATCTGCTGCTTAAGAGTATTATTATATGCATATTTATGCAATTTTGAGGCGTTTGCTCAGTTTGATAAACCGGATATTAAAATCTTGTATGCTCTAGTGCGCACTTGTTGCAATTGTGTTTGCGGTTGCTTGACAATTTGTCGCTGGCAATTGTTGCATACAGTCCGTTGTTGTGATTATTTGTTGCTCGCTTTTGGCCAATTTACTTATTGGCTTACTCCACATAGAGGTTGTCGCACCAAAATTTCCTCGACAAATGTGTGCAACAAATCTATTTCGACGATCATTT